AGGTATATTACGCCATATGTAAATAGAAATAGTTCTCCTTCTTCTTTACCATTCTTAGGCCTCCAATTGATTTCTCCTGTCTAATTGCATTGGCTAATACATCTAGTACAACGTGGAATAGTGGTGGATATAATGGCATCCTTGCCATGTTTCTCTTCTTTCATTCTCTTTTTATTTTTTAGAGTCAAGGTCTCACTCTGTCACCCAGGCTGGAGTACATGGCATAATCAGGGCTCACTGCAGCCTCAAACTCCTGGCCCCAAGGGATCCTCCTACTTCAGCCTTTTGAGTAGCTGGAACTACAGGCAAATGCCAGCACACTTGGCTTTTTTTTTTGTTTTTTGTTTTGCAGAGATGAGGTCTCATTTTGTCTCCCAGGCTGACCTCAAACTCCTGGCCCATGCAACCCTCTTGTCCCAGTCTCCCACAGTGTTGGGATTGCAGGCATGAACCACTGTGCCTGGCCCTTGTTATGCTCTTGATCTTAGTGGAAATGCTTCCAGTGTCTCTTGATTAAATAAGATGCTGGTTTATATGACTATATCTTATCATACTGAGAAAGTATCCCTCAATTCCTGTTTCACTGACTGTTTTGATCATGAATGGGTATTGAATTTTGTTAAAGCTTTCTTAGTATTTATAGAGAAATAAATGAGCATATTATTCTCCCCTTAGGTTCATTCATATGGTACATGCTTGTTGTATATTGAATTAGATCTCATAGAATGAATCAATCCTGATGATACCTTTATCAGAATTAGGGGTACCTTTATCTTGAACTTCTAGCCTCCAGGACTGTGAGACAATACATTTTTGTCATTTGAGCAGCCCAGTTTGTCGTTATGGCAGCCCTAGGAAACTAATGCAATGCTATTAATGGATGAAGTTTTCTAATATTAAAGCTACTCTGGAGGCTGAGGCAGGAGAATCGCTTGAACCTGGGAGGTGAAGGTTGCAGTGAGCTGAGATCACGCCACTGCACTCCAGCCTGGGTGACAAGAGCAAAACTCCGTCAAAAAAAAAAAAAAAACAACCTTGCATTCTTGGTCTGACTGGTTTTTAATAATATCTAGGATAGTAACAAAATATAAGCAGTGTTTCAGAGAAGGATAGACTTGAAAGCAACTCAGAAGTCATCTTGTCTCAATATCCCAATTTCCATCACACCTGTTCTGCCCTGGAGTCCCTTGTGAGCTCCCATTTTTGACCACACAGGGATGCACCATTAGCAACTATTCCCCACTGAAAGTTCTGTGTCTGACGGGCCTGCTCACTCTGCAATCTTGACACCCCCTTGCCGGAGCTGGCCAGATGAGAACGAAATGAACTGGTTAATAGGGTGATTTTTAATATTCTTCCCAGAGACACCAAGCCTTAGAAGCCTCCACTTTGAGCCACTCCCCATGCCACAGCTTCCTTTAGGATTCTCACACAATAGCTTGGCAATTAAGTCTGTTGGGATTAAAAAATACATTATTATGATAAGCTTCACCTGGGAAATCCTATTACACACAGGAGCAGTGAAGAAAGGGGTTTTCTGACTTGGGCAGAGAAGGTTCTGTCTCTAGGCTCTGGTAAGATAGAGGGTATAAAGTCTGGCAGAACCAGGAAGAGAGGGGTGGATCAGCTCTGGGGGACAAAAGGCTCTCCCAGGTAGAGGGGAAAGGGCTGTGCTGTGAGGAAGTGAGTTCCCAGTTACAGTGGCATCCAAGCAGAGGTGGGACAGCCAGTCAAGGAGCCTGCGGAGGTGACCTTTTCCTGGAGGAGATAGGAAGAGGGAAGGGAAAGCCCACAAGAGTGGAGTCAGACGGGGTAGGTTTGGATTCCAGTTACTAATTGTGTGACCTGGGGCATCTCCCTGAGGCTTGGTTCTGTCATCTGGAAAATGGACTAATCAGAGCTGCTGCAGAGGGCGGTTGTGAGAAATGGGAAGTGCACTTCCACATCAGGCCCTGTGATGGCACCATTAGATGACTCAGTTTATAAAAACTGACCAGCAGGATTCTGGGGCCAGAGCATCATCAAAGTCCCACCTTCCCCCAACCTTATCGGGCAGATCTGGCTCTTCCTGGCTTATCTTGGGGACCTCTCTCTTCCCCAATAGCAGGGCCAATGCTCTGTCCACCCGGCCACCAGGGTGGGTGTCTTGGGCAGGTCACTCTCTCACTAGGCCTCTTTCCTCACCTGTCAGAAAAGGTGGAGCTGCTGGAGATGGTTAAAGGACTGGGCCCTTCCAGCGCTAACCTGCTAGGGTGGCTGGGCTTCTCACTAGCCATGAGTGCATGTCTCTGCTTCTGGGACTCAGTGTCTTCACAAAATGAGGGACTGGGGTCAGATGTCAATAACACCAGCTAGCAAATGCTGAGAGCTCTTACTCCAAGCAAAGGACTACCATGAGGGCTCCACATGGCCCGGCCCATTTAACCCCACAACAACTCCATGGTGCAGTTGTTGCTATGTTGGCTTTACAGGAGAGGATACTGGCACAGTGAGGTTGGGTCACTTGTCTGAGGTCACTCAGCTAATATGAGCCCAGGCAGAGTCCCTGCTTACAACTATTGCAGAATACCCTCTTGTGGCTCCAATGCTTTGAGATACAGAAGAGGGTCTGAGCATCCTCTGAACCCCACTGTTTTGTGGGCTGAGGCAAACACGCCTTCTCAGACACAACCCCAGCTCCACCTTGGAACACATGGGAGTTGCCCAGCCCAGAGACAATGCTGCCCAGTATCCTACACAACCGGGCCTTTAGCGAGCCCCATGACTTGCCTGTACCTGGTCATCACACACTTCAGCTAGAAGCCCATTTTACAGACAGGGAAAATGAGGCTGTGAAAGGATAGAGGACCTGCCCAGATCACACAGCCAGTAACTGGCAGAGTGAGGACTGGAGCCCAGATCTGCTTGGCTCTACCAGTTGCTGCTGTCTTCCTGAGAATGACCCTTGGCCTCTGCCCTCCAGGAACTTTGGCCTCGCAGGGGAAATTTTGGTCCCACCAGCAACTCTGAGAGACGCAGCCTGAGAAGGGCCATAGGTGAGCAAGGGAGCTTTGGGATGCTGCGGCTCAGGGAGGATGGAAGAGTCCTTCAGACGGTCACAGATCAGTATGGGCAAGGGTTCAGGTGGGGAGAGTAGAGCCCCTGAAATGACCCTTGAAGGGCTGGTGAAGCTGTTGCTCCCAGTACAGGGCATGGAATGAGGTTAGGGGAGATGGGGGAGTCAGATGGGGTGCAGTCTTAGAACACTCTTCTGTGGGTGGCGGGTCTCAGCTGCATATGTGAAAGTCTTCTTTGGTTGGATAGAAAGCTCCCGAGGGGGCTGGGGCTACTCTTAAGGGAGAAGCATCTGGGTGGCCTGGGACAGAGGCAGGGAGGTTGGGGAGAGGCTAGAGAAGTCCGGGTGACTGAGAGTGAGGTGAGGCAGGGACTCTGCTTAGTGTAAAGAAAGGAAAATCGTGAGTCCTTTCTAGGGGCATTTCAGGCAGCTAGCTAGCTTTGAGAAGTAAACGAGCACCTTGACAAGCAACAAGGTAATTGTAGCTTAAAACAAGGGCCACCCAAATAAGTTAGAGCCACAAGATGTCTGGTTCCCTATAGAAACTAAAGATAACATCTTGACCTATGTCCCTGAATTGTTTTTCACAGCTGTCACTTAGGCCTCAGACAAGGGGAAACTGAGGGCTGTTCTTTAAATTTCTTCCCAAGGGTTCTGCAAAGAGTCACACCCATAAGCCAATGCTTAACATTCCTATCTGTGGAGCCCAGGTTTTTAGACAGTCTTGCTTCCTAAACCAATTGCAAATCACAGAATCTCTGAATCCACCTATGACCTGTAACTCCCCTGCCTCAAAATATCTCACCTTTTTGGGCCAAGCCAATGTGTAGCTCCAGAGTATTTATTTATGACTTTGCCTATAACCTCTGTCTCCCCACCTTTAAAAACCCTTACATGTAAACCATCGAGGAGTCCGGGTCTTAAGCATTAGCTGACCTATTCTCCTTGCTTGGCACCCTGCAATAAATGCCTCCCTTTCTGCCGCTGCAAATCCTGATGTCAGTGTTTGACTTTGCTGCACCGGGTGGGTGGACCCAAGTTTGTTTCGGTAACACAAGAAGTTGATGAAATCATTAACTGAGACTGGGAAACAAACTGGAGGGGGAGAATGAGTGGGCTGATAGGCTCATCAGATCAGATGGGCATCTGTCCTGCTGACTCAGGGTGGGGGACGGTGGCACCCCTGAGTCCCTACTGTAGGCAAGAACTAGTCACCCCTAAACCTTCTCTATCGGATTCCCCAAACGGCCTGGGATGGGTAGAGATTATAGTCCCCATTTTACAGATCAGGAAATCGAGGCTCGGTGCCATCCCAGGGCATTCCGGGAGCCAGTCACGGACAGAGAGTCAAACGTGAGCCGGTGAGCCCATCGCAGCACCGGGTTAAGTGCTCAGGCCGGGGTCAGTTTTCCCATCTGACAGAGGCCGTCTGCGGCTCACAGGGGCCTGGGCTCCCTCTTCTCCATCCGAACACCTGGGATGGATGTGAAGGTGGAGTTCGGAAAGGGAGGGGTGCCGCCCACCAAGTCCTGGTTCTGGCAGGCACCCCGGCCCTTGCGGGCCCTCGGTACTAGACGCCAGCTCCAAGTCAGCCGCGGCTCAGGCCCGCCCTTGGGGAGCTGAACCCACGCCTCGGCCCGATCCCTCGCGGTGCAGCCAGCCCTTGGGAGGCTGCCCACGGGGATGCACCCAACCGCAGACAGATAGTCTGGGAAGGAGGGAGAGAGAGGGCCCGACTGAGTCGGTAGAGGTTGTGGGTGCCGCTAGGGGCCCCAAACCCCCCTTCAACATCCGGGCTGGAACCAGACCGCTCCTCTGAGCGGCCGCCCGCGGCGCCAGGGCGCATGCGCGCATCGAGCTCACGGCCGCCCGCTCCGCCCCACGGGAGACCACGCCTCCGGCTCACCACGGGCGAATGGGCAGAGGCCGTGGGCGGGGCGGGGCGGAGCCGGGCCCGGCCGGCCGAACCCGGGGAATGCGAGCGCCAGCCCCCGCCCCAGGCCAGTCCCAGCTGCATCTCCTGCCAGAACTCCAGGCCGCTACGCGGGGCGGCTGCAGCCTCCGCTCCAGCGCCCACGCCGTGCCCTGCATCCCAGGAACCCGGCTGGACCCGCGGTGGCGCGGCCGGTAGGAGGCGCGCGGAGGGAGGCATGTGCTTCTATGTGTGTGTGTGTGTGTTTCGGGGGGGCGTGTGAGGATGCAGCGTGAGCCAGTGCGTTCTTTGGTACCACGAATCGGTGGAGGGGGCTGCATCTCCCGCGGGCCTGGGGGGAAAGGAAGTGAGCGCTGGCTGGGGGGCGGGGTCCTGGACGATCCGCCTGGGCTCCCTGGGCTCGTCCCCACCCCCACCCCCACCCCCGGCGAGGAGTCTTTTTTTCATCTCCCTCTGGGTGTCTCTGAGTCGTTTTCCTAGTGCGGACGCGCTGGAAGCGCCTAACACCCGGGGCTAGACTGTCCCTTCCTCTCATCTTCCTTACAGTTCCCCCTCTTCTGTTCCCTCCTTAACCCCCCCCTTTCATTCCTGCTATCCACCAACCCCTTCTGGGTACTACCCCACCCAGGCTTGGGAAAGGGGCAGGGCCGAGGCTCCTGCTGCCCCAGCCTATCCACTTCTTGGCACTCCTCCCCAGGTTCAATGGGGGCTTTTCTCCTTGACTGCAGGGCGGGTGCACACCTGTGTGTGTGTGTGTGTGTGTGTGTGTGTGTGTGTGTGTGTGTGTATGTGTGTTGCAGGAGTGTGTATTGCCGGAGTGTGGGAGAGTGGTCTGGGAGGGAATGGATCTTTGATTTCTCAGACCTGAGTTCCCACCTCTGTTCCTCTGGGTTGGGGGGGTCTCAGAAGACTGGCCTAGGGGACCAGAGGTGAAGTAGGACCAAAGATCATTAACAGGTGCGACGTTCTCTCTCCCAGTCATTTCGTGTGGTGGGATTCACCCCCAAGTTCCATACAGATGAGTAGAGTGGGGCACAGAGAGGCAAAGTCAGCTGCCCTCTCAGGGCTGCTGAGCCAGAATTTGAACCTGGGTCCGCCTGGCTCTCATCCCAGAGTCTCCTCCCTACACCCGTGGTTTGGAGAGAAAAGTACTGAGGGCGACTATCCCAGGACTCAGGGGAAAGAGAGATCTGGGCAGACTTCTTGGAAGAGGGGCTTAAGGATGAGGCTCAGCCAACTCAATGAGTCTGAGGCCTGCTGGAGGAACCACTGTGTTCCGCAAGGATTGACACTTCCCACGGTCCTGGGGCTGGTCCTTGCTCCTGTCCCGAGGGTCAGGGAGTGGGATGGTCTGGCTGCCTTTGCCTCCTGGGCAGGGTGTGGTGGGCCCCGCTGCCGCTGCAGGCCAGGCCAGGCTAGTTGCCAGCACACAGAGGCATGGTCTTTGCCCTGAGGAGCGTCCCTTCTGACGAGACAGGCAGTGGGTCCACAGATAAGGCCCTGCCCAGAGTTGTACCCAGTGCTGGGGATGAGTTCACTTGCAGATTCGTTGGGGCTGGGTCTCAAAGAAGTCCACCAAGCAGAAAAGAAAAGGCAGGGGATCGCAGCCCCAAGGAATAGCATGAGTAAAGACCTGGCAGTGTGAAAATGAAAGCTGGTGGGGTGGATTGCGGATGAGATAGGTCAGATGTGTGTCCAAGAAGGGTCACCTTTGGCTGCGTAGTGGGTGGGCTTCTGTTGAGGCCTGTAAGGAGGAGGCCAAAGCAGGGAGAGGGCCCTCCCTTCTGCTCTCCTCTGCTCCCCACCCAGGGTTAGCCTTGGCAGGGGAGGAGGGGCCCTGATAAAGGTTCCCAGAGCAGGGGTGCTGGGGGCAGGAGGTGCCCAGGGGCTACACAGGGCCCCAGTGCTGGGGGAAGGTAGGTGGGGCTGCCCCTGTGAGATGGGAACCACCATTGCGGGTGGGGCAGATTGGGAGTAAGTTGACAAGTGGACTATTGGATAGGGTGGTTGTGAGATGCCTGTGGGTTTTTGTGGGAGACATCTGGAACACTGCTCCCAGGCCAGCACTGTCTCTGCCTGCTTTCCTGGCAGGCTCTCAGATCAGCCCTGGAGTCCTGGTCCCCAAACAGGAGGCCTCTTGCACCCTCAGTAGGTACCCTCTCCTACCTGCAGGGCCTAAATCGTGTGTCTGATCTTTCTCTTGGCTGAGACCATCTCTGTACCTTCCTACTTGCCTATGACCTTGAGGCGGAGAACTTCCCTTTTCTGTCTCAGTTTTCTCATGTGCGGAATGGGGATAAATGCTGCCTATTCACAGGGACTGGGGGATGATGAAGATGAACTTAGATCATGTCACTGAACGCATCTTTCTAAGTACGTGGTGTCTGGTAGCCATTATTACTAATAGCAGCTGGCAATCAGCATCACTTAGTTCCCTCCCTGGGGATGAGGGGCTGACTTTGGGAGAAGAAGGGTGGAAGGAAATAGGCCTCTCTTATTGAAGTGGAAGACTCTCTTGGATTTAGTGGGTGAGGGAGACTGCTTATGGGAGTGGTCTCTATCTGCCTGACCAAGTCCCCTGGCTTCTCCCAAAAGCTTCTAGCCCCTGAGGAGAGGCAATGGCTGAGCAGCTGGGAGCACCCTAGAGTGCAGCATGTGAAGGTTGAACAGAAAGCCCAGCAGCGGGCCCTCAGCTCCCCCAGCTGCAAAGAGCAGGATCTGCAACACCCCCCACCCCTCCCCAGCAGCCTTCTGGGCAGCTGGCAGCAGTCTCTCTGCAGCTGGGCTTTTCACCCGCCCTGTCTCTGTCCCCATCTATTCAAGTGTTTTGAGTGCCTTCAGAGCCCCTCCCAGGCACCCCTTGAGTGCCTCAGAGAGCTCTTCTGCGTCTCCATCCCTGATCCCTGCTCAAAACTTTCCTGGGCTCGCCATGGTCCTGAGATTTGGGCTTCCTGCTGCACATCTCTGAGCCCTCCTCCGGGCTGGTGGAGATGCCCTGGGATTACCTTGCTTTAGTGCAGGCAGAGCTGCTCACTTGCCTGTGGCCTCGGGCCTTGCCTTTCCCTGCTCACCCCAGGCAAAGGGGCCAGGTCCCTTTGCGGTTGGAATCTGGATGTCTTAGGAGGCCAGCCTCAGGCTTGGAAGGGGAAGCTGTGGACAATGTGTGCTTACCCGCAAGGGCCTGGGTTACTGCTCCCCATTCTGGTTGTTTGCACGTGTGCTTCCAGGGACCCGAGCTTTCCCAGGGATAGGGGTCTGGGTTGGCGACAGCTGAGGCTGCAGTGGTCTGTGGGTTTTTTGCTGTGGTTTTCTCCCACAGTGGCCATGCGGGAGAAGGGGCTGGTGACCGGAGCACACCAAAGCCCATCCACTGGTCCCCAGCTGCCCTTCACTGTCAGGATGTGCCCCGGGGGATGGTGGACAGAAGGCTGGGAGCCCATTGGCTTGACCCACCTGCCTTGCCTGGCCAGCCCCTGCTCAGCCAGTGCCCCCTGCTGCTGTGTAACTTCTGCCAGTCGGAGTGAGGTGAGACCCAAGTGACGTGTTACTCACAAGAGGAACTAAGGAACTGGCGTGGGGTCGCTTTGTTGTACAGCGGAGCAACTCAAGGTGTAGGAACTTCATTCCCCTCATGGGCTTCTCCAGGCAGGAGAGGCGGCTGGGGCCCCATGACCTGTTCCCCGGCTCCCATTAGCTATTCTTCAGGAACAGCATCGTTCAAGAGCATATTCCTTTCCTATCGCTATTGTGACAAATTGCCACACTTGGTGACTGAAAGCAACACAGATTTATGCTCTTATAGTTTCGGAGGTGAGAAGTCCCCCATGAGTCTAATGGGGCTAAAATCCAGGCTGGCTTCTTCTGTGGGATCCTGGGGAGAGTCCGTTCCCCGTCTCTTCCAGCCTCGGGTGGCTGCTGGCGTTCCTTGTGGCAACATTGCTTCAGTCTCTGCTTCTGTCTCATTGCTCTTTCCTCCTCTGGGCAGATCCCCTCCACCTCCCTCTTGTAGGGACACTTGTGATTACATTCAGGGCCCACCCAGATAAGCCAAGATCGTCTCCTTGTCTCAAAGTCCTTAATCACATCTGCAGAGTCTCCTGTGCCATACAAGGTGTCATTCACAGGTTCTAGGCATCTGGGTGGGAGTATCTTTGGGGCCATCATTCAGCCCACCCCAGGAGCTGACTGCAGCACCACTGTAGGTGCCATTCCCAGCTCCCGCCGCCACCCCAGTGCTCACCGAGGCTGGCTTCCCCAGTCACAGTCCTGTTACCCAGGAGGTCACTCACAATGTCTGTCTCCCCTCCAGCCTGGGAGCCTTGGAAGCTGGGCGCTGCTGTAGCCCTGGCCCCAGTGTCCAGCCTGAGCCCCTGGTAGCCAGAGTTCAGGGATGTTTGGAAGAAGGGCATCCCTGGCATGGCTGCATGGGTGGCCCTGGTGTCTGGACCCTGCCTGCATTTGACAGTGTGCTGGGCCTTTCAGGGTGGAGTGCAGCTCATTTCAGACATTCACACAAGAAGCCCAGTGCTTTGCAGGGTCATTTGATGCTCACCATCACCCTACAAGGGGGTGGTCCCGCTTTACAGATGAGAATACCAAGGCCTATTACGGCCAAGTCCTGTCTGGTATATGGGGTCAGGTGAACAGGCTGGGCCAGTAGAGCAGAAAATACCTTTGTTTTACAGATGAGAATTCTGAAGCACAGAGAGGTTAATTGCTTTGCTCCTCGCTGGCCTCAGTCTCCCCATCTGAGGATGGGTATGTGGACAGGATGTTGCCCAGCCTGACATCTTGAGGCCCTGGTTCGCCCTCTGCCTGGGTATGGGGAGCAGGCGTTGGCATTCTAGGCTGCCATGGTTAGGAATAGGAAGTGACTTAGAGCAGTGCAGGGGGCCTGGAAGTGCTGCTCACCCAGAGACATGGTCCGCCGTTGCAGGAGGGGATAAGCCCCCTGGCGCCTCAGGAAGAACCCTAGCTAAACCCCAGAGCTCCGGCCTGCCTGCTGCGGACCTGCCCCTGTGTGGGTCTCCTTTCCATCCCCATGGCCAAGGCCACACCATGCTAGGCCCTGCTTCTCTCTCAGGGGCCTGTCTAGAGCCTGGCCTCCCTGCCTACATCCTGGGCCTCCTTTCCCGTTGACCTTCTCATACATCATCGCACCCCATCTCATGTCTGAGTTCTTAGCCTGGCTTTC